ATTCGATTTTTGTTGATAATGGGGAAAAGTACTGCGCGGGTAGACTCTGTTAAAGGTTATTGTGAACGTTACTCAACGCTTGTGATTATCATTATAATGATAATAATTAGCCTCGGTTGAATGGGAGAGGATTTGACGTTAATGGATATAGGCATGGTTATGATTGATGATAATGAACAAACTTACTTAGAGACACCTCGAGCATGTTTGTGGTGCATTATGTACACATACGTGAAAGTAATACTAACACAATCGCCATTACGCCATTTTATTCATAATATTCACCTTTATCCTCTTAATATAAAAATCAACATAATTATCATCATTGCGGAGCGCTAGGAGTGTCAAGTCTGACAGACATGAGCGCTGTACAAGAACCCACTATCATTATTATTATTATCGTCGTCACATACAAAAGCATAGTCATATGACTCTATTGTCATTAGTATCAATATCATATTCACCTTCGTCATCACCGTTATAGTCATTATCAAATTTACCTCTCATACAACTATCAGAACAATCTAAATTATACCACCTCGGCCATTAAGGTTGTAAGCAAACATTAACAATAATTTATCCATTATACAAATACATGCATTTAATGTTGTTAAAATCTTCTACATGAATAGATGTGCCGTACCGTGTCATGCATATATTTCAAGGCCACACAAATAAAAACGCATGTATCAAAAGATTGAATTGACGTGGGTTTGTTATCTACATTGATGAACTCTTTATATATATAGGCTTACAGAAAACAACTGACACAAGTTTATTACAACTTTTGTTTTTAATACAGCTAATAGTGCACTAAAATACAGAGGTTTCAACAGAATTATAATAATAATCATAATCATAATAATGATAATACTAATATTAATATGAATAACAATAATAAGGATGATAATAATAATTATAATAATGATGATAATAATTATAATAATGATAACAACGATGATGCTAATAATGATGATAATAATAACAATAATACAAATAATAATAGTAATATTTATAATAACAATGACAATATTACAACAACTACTACTACTAATACTAATACGTCAACAACTACTACTACTACTACTACTACTACTACTACTACTACTAATTATAATAATTATAACAATGTCAATTTGATTTATAGAATTCGAGGTGCCGTCAATAAATCAATTACTGTAACATAATAACAAAATATTTGATGCGACAAGACACTGGTATCTTTCAACCATAACTATAGCAGAAGTAAAATAAATTATAATTTGACTACATTTTTGCGTAATAATTACAGAAAATTGCAATAGTACTAATAATACATCAGTGATACCATACTTTTGTCATTGAAAACCATGTTATTGTTAACATTATAAGAATGGGGGGGGGGGGTAATACACGATACACAATTATTCTAGCCCCACCACACCTATATGGGCTTTACCCCTTTCCGGAATTCCTTTCGGTATTTTTATTACGTCAATCACACAAAAAAGGACCTGTAACCTTTTCATTTCCCCTTCAACTAAACCGATTTCCACCCATCAGTTATAACAATAAGACATACAACGTGAACGTACCTAGTAATAGAATTTCTAGAAAAATTTCTAATGCGTATGGAATCTATTCGAAGCGATTTTGGCGCAGCTTTTCATCTCTCTCTCTCCCTCTCTCTCTCTTTTCATTTCTGTCTTACTCTCTCTCTATGTGTCTTTCTCTCTCTCTCTTTCTATCTATCTCTCTCTGTGTCTGTCTGTCTTTCTCTCTGTCTCTCTCTCTTTCTATATCTCTCTGTGTATGTCTGTCTGTCTCTGTCTCTCTCTCTCTCTCTCTCTCTTCCCCATCTCTCTCTCTTTCTCTCTCTCTCTCTCTGTTTCTCTCTGTCTCGAGTTCTTTCTCCCGTCTCTATAATGTTGCTTATGTCACATTGGCTCGCGACCTCATATACAAACTGCTTAATGAGGCATGTAGTTGACTCCTTCAGCTCATCGTTGAAGAAAAAAAGCAAATGGTAAGATATCCAGCGTGTAAATTGTTTGTTTACCTATTCTTATTCCTCTTTTAAATTCCTTCAATTCATTTCCATTGTGCATGACTTCGAGTGCCGTCGACCATGAGTTCACGCTGGAAAAGCACTGTATAATTGCATTCAACAGATTTCAACATGTATTGATGGCTATTGACTTCCATACGCTAGTGTCGTGTATGTATATTTTAATTATATGGCGCCTGAGAGGATATGTGACAACGCTTTTAGCAATGCTGCATTATTTCCTGCATGGTTCATCGTCGCTTTCTCCTTGGATAGTTCCTTCTGGTAGAGCTAATTCAGGACATTGGTGTGGGCAGGCGTAAGAGGTAAGCTAGGGCATGTATGTAAGGGGTCACTATAGTACATGCAACAGGTGTAATTGTGCTCCAATCATACTGTAGTGCAACACCGTGCAATGATGTCCATACGTGTAGTAATGCTGATGGTGATGTAACAGCACATCGTACATTGTAAATCGCACAATTGTCATTAAATTGCATTTAACATTTAAGAGAGATATGTAAATACAGATATATAGGCTGACTCGGAGAGATAGAGAGGGAGCGAGATCGAGGAGGGGGGTACGTGCATGCGATCTGTTTTAACTGTCTACCAAAATTATTGTATGAATTTGCATTACTTCTACTTCTACGACGATACTCAGCAGGATCCATAAGTCAGGATGTCGTGCTGAGGAATAAACTATCTAGTTCTTGGTCTAGATGCTTGGTGGAAGCATGTACACTATACAGAATTATGCTTTTTATTGGAGTACTAAAATGGTATACATGTTGGTTGTCACAGGTGTCTGATGTTGATCTCCATTTGTATTGCACCAAAGGCATACATGCATGGGTTGCATGCATCCATATGGGTGATGTTAATTTAAAAATGAAGTCATGCCCAGGTTTGCACCCCCAACCCCCCCCCCCCCCCCCCCCCAAAAAAAAAAAAAAAAAAAAAAAAAAAAAAACCTACAACAACCTAGAAAAAATATTCTAAATGACCTTTACCTTCCAAACTTACACTAGCCTTGTTCTGGGAAGAAACAATTCAGGACTTGATTCTAAAAAATTTAAACAGTGGATTCAGTGATAACACCAAACCGACAAAAACTTGGGGAAGACGAATTTTCGATGAATTTCACTTTATTCCACAACTTATAACAGTAAACATCAGTATGGCCTTCAACTGTATTGACAGATGGCAACTACAATTCTACAAACATAAATTAAATCCGAAAATTCACAGCCTCGGCTGGCAATGTTGTTTACCTTTACTAATGTATGGTAGGTGTGGGGTTTATACCTGGTTATCCGTTGTTATTTGCAATGCACTTCAATCAGAAGTTAATCTAGTTAGTCTAATTACATGGCTGTGATTTCTTAACCTCAGCAAAGAGGTTTTGATATATCGTGTCTATTTTGAGTAGATGTGTACAGGAGTACAGTGCACATCCCCGTCAAAATAATGGCAACATTAAAAGAGAGAGAGAGAGGAAAAAAAAGGAACTTCAAAGAATAAATAAAAGAAGAAAAGAAAGAGGAAAAGCAAACGCAAAAATAAAACGTTCCCATCCCACCCTCCCTCACTTGGTACTCTTGTTCTCTTGCTTTTTATTCTAACCCATTTCTCACCGCAATAACAGTGCACCCATTTCTGATCTTTGTTTAACAACAGCCATTCACACCATCGAGATCGACAACAAATCGAACGAAATATTACATTACCCTGAGAATCGCCGAGAGTCGGTGTGACTGAGGTTTAGTTGTTTCCACACTCTCGTGTCTTAATTATTTAAAGTGAATAATTCGCTCACAATAATCTGGCTATTTTTAGAGCCTGAATGCCTTTAGCAAGCTTATGTTATCAAAAGGGACTTCGAAGTTGTCACGAAAACTGTCTGATTATCATTGTAAGTGCATCAAATTGAAGTGGTGTCAGTTGCTTAGTCTTGCGAATTTAGCTTTGATAGAGAAAAAATAATGTGTTGTGAATGTTTATGTATTTCATTAATCCCCGAGATTTATAAGCATAACTCAACGACTGAGCAAATTGTTAATTCACACCTCGATGCCGGGCTGTGACGTCAGTAGCCTGCGACAGACATATTTCCACTGTAAACATATCAATCTCTGGATCCAGTTTTGCATGCATAATGTCATACGTTTTGTGACATTTTCTCTGCGTGTACTCCTAAAATTAGGCGTTTCCAGGTTTGCTCGAGAAATGTGCAAATTTACACTGTAAATGGAGTGTGATTAATTAACTCTTCCATTGTAGAGCCGATTGAAGCAAAATATGAAAATGGTGAAGTGAATGAAATAGAAACAATAATATTCATTCATATTCATTCGTATTTTCAAAACGATTAATTAGATAGTTTTCTGTAATGAAGACTTGTTGAAATATTATTGATTTTAAACAAAATATTGCTTTGCGTCCCTTTAACAGAGGGAACATCTTCATGACAAGATTACTTTATTTTTATTAGTTATACCTCAATAGGGTAATTGTCCTAGGGCAGTTCTCCAGGGTGAAACAATCCGGGCGTGGTTCACTTTCATTGATTAATCATGTAATGTCTTAGCAGATGGTTGTCCTTGATTGTAGACTGAGGGTAAAGTCTGTGCTAATATTACCCAATCTCCTGTATATACAGCCCACCTTATGTTTTCTCACCCCCATCCATTACAATCACATCTTCTCCTCATTCACAAGGCAGTGTTCCAAATTTCATCTGGTCATGAAACACATAAATATATTGGTAAAAAATATTTTGGGGGTAGCTAGCTGCCACAGGAAAGTGCGATTCTTTTGGAATTCATCGTTCGAATTTGAAAGGTCATTTTCATTGTGTATTTTTGTTTTATTGGCAACAATTTGTAACTCACCATATTTATTGTATTCTTCTTCTTAATGTTTCTTCTTTTTTTGTGATTAATCTTTGTTTCACTTTTGTTTAAATTCACAGATATACGGCCTCAACCCAGGCCAGAGGTTATAGAGCGTCGGTTTACACGGCTGAAGGTAAGATCACTGTAAATTAATTCCACAAACAGTCCATACCATGCATTATAATATCCAAATGAAATTATATGGAGTGTTGGTATAGGAACGTGTCTCGTAAACTGTAATGATATACACGGCAGTTATGTTACTTCTGAAAGAGGAAACTCAGATCAAAGTATTTGCAGCAGGACAAAGAGAAACTTAATTTTTTTTTAATAGGAAAATAAAGTCCACATACCCTACCCCCCCCCCCTCCCCTCCCCTACAAATGAATGAAAAGAATACAAGAACTGAGGCGCGATGGCTCAAATGTAGAGAAGTTGTCTCGTAACCGGGAGGTCCTTGGCTCGAAACCAAGTAGATGCGCTAGTGCCCATATGGTAAGGCATTAATCTGCAGTCCCTCGGAGAGGACTTCAAGCCATCTGTCCCCTGGTTGCTTACTGTCAAGCACACACATGTATTCTAAGCAGTCAGCCTCGGGTAAAAAAAAATAAAAAAAAAATAAAGAGACTTCCTACTTTGTGAATGAATAATATTAAATAGGGCCTACTGGTAAAGCGTATATAAAAGTAAAATTGAGGGAGGAAGCAGGGCAGTTTAACAAGCGATGATTTCGAAGGGGGAGTTAAAACAAAAAAAAGGAAGAAGTACAGAGTTTTGTTTAATGTTTACCCCCCCCCCCTTTTTTTTTCTTTTGCGTGAGCAAGGTCACTCGGTATCTTCATCTCTACGTGCTATCTTAAACATACGATGACATGCGAAATCTCTAGCAAATTTCGACTCATAATCCAACAAAAAGGAGCATTGAATGCCCCCTTATATAATTATTTACCAACTTCTTTGCTCGCCGGGGAACCCCTTTCAGCCATTGTGTACATGTTCCTCCTACAGTAAGGAGATTCGTGATGGATAAAAAAAAGAAATTGGAGACGCATTGTTTACACTCGAGGTTCGGCAATGCGAATCGCTCTTTAAATATAGAACCAGTTCACAATCAAATATTAAATGGCATCTCAATGCATGGAGTTAAATATTGAGTGTGGAATGTATACACTGTCCATGTACTCAATCGTTTACGTCACTCGTTTATTCGGACTTTGTATGGGTCTGTAGTACAAAGTTTAACTTGTCATCTATTTTAGAACCGAGTGGCTGTAATGTTGGAGATAAAGGAAGTTGGGACCTTTTGTCCCTCCATGTCAAGTATCATCCCATTTCACGCTGAATGAAGTTAGAGAGCTGAACAAATAAGAACAGAAGAATGGACATACAGACAAATGAATAAATCATTATATTCGAGTCTAAATTAAGGGACTAAAGCAAGAGAATCAATGCTTTGTTTAAACTTTCGTATTTGTATTGTCCGAAATAACGAAGAGTTTTGTGCTTTTTTCCTTCGTTATCCAGTTGAAATGTACAGGTATTAAACAATAGAACATTGTATCTTAACAACCATTACATCGGACTTTGTATAATTGGATTAAGAGTTCATGTTTTAGTTTTATTAAGTTGTTGACTTAAACCTATGTAAATATTGTAATTTTTTTTTACTTGAACACTCTGTAAACGTAATACAGACAGCATAATTACCGGCAACTAAATTTCTCATCTTATCTTTAGTCTATGAGGCTGATATCCAGGGCTCAACACCCACAAGATTTCAGTGTGCATATGTCAATTATTTGTTTTAATCAGTGCCCTCCTACTCCCATTGTACATGTAACTCTCTTAACAACATTACCTAATGACATAATTTTGGTATTTAGTCTATCAGGCTCTACTGATATCCAGTGCTCGCTATTAACAAGCAAGAATCCAATGTTCATGCCACCCCCTCCCATTTCTTTTTAATCAGCGCCCCCGTCTCTCCCCCATTATAAATTTATAAACAGGGTAGTGTGCATTCACATACAGGTCCTTAAATGCCCATCACATACCCCCTTTAATAATCAAAAGGTGCGCATATATATGACTGTGGAGCCCTTTGAAGAGTGTACATGGACTTTTCGCATTCCCTTTCCTTCTCGTATGTTCTTGAATATCCTCATCTATTGTACCTCACTATCAACTAGCAATGTATTGACCTCGTTCCTTGTATTCTATTGATCTTGGGATTCGATTCAATGCATGTTTTTTGTTCGTTTGAATCTGAATCACGGATTCGAACTCGCAGTAATCGGTGGTTAACAATGCACACTTTCTGGAAACAAAAGACGCTCACACCCTAATAGACCTTCGATCAATAAGGTGAATAGTGCAAGGGTATTCAAGGATGCAAGCCTTTGCTCTGGGACAACGTTGTGGACCGTTTTGTTATTGTGATTGTGTCATTTTTTTTACAGGAAATAGTGTAAACGTGGTAAAAGAACATTTAAAACTTTACATGCTTTGTTAGGAACGAAGAAGAAGAAGACAAAGTTAAGTTGTTCGAGTTCAAGATAGAGAGACTGAGATGGAACAAGAAAAACGAAACTGTCACTTTGCTGAAGTATGTTATCATTTTTAATTGGGGTGGGGTGTCACGTCTCTTCATAACAACCCACGGGTGCCCATGTTATCTATATTTTCCTCGTGTTCATGTTGTTTGTTAGTTTGTTTGTGCGTATTGTGTATTTTTATTTGGTATTAAAGATGTGAAAGGTTTATTAATATTAGACGAACAAAAAGCACCTAACATTAGCAACAATTTGTGTGAGGCGTTAAACCCCCAAGAATATTCAACTTTGACCATAGGGCGTTCCACTCTTAATACTGAGTCATGGCATAAATTCCACTGCCCTATCAAATCGATAATAAAACCTGTAGGTTATACAGCTGAAGTTTTCGTCTTAAACCATGCAGCTGAAGTTTTCATTAAAATCGGTGAAGGTCAGAGGTCAGGGGTTCAACGAAAACATATCCTAACGTCTTATCCAGGAAACCTGTTTTCATCCTATGAAGCCAATCAGTTAACTCTAAAAACTAAAATGGTAATCACCATTTAAAAGGGTCGAGGAACGATTTAACCTTTTGTTTGATCCAGCATGTTCAAAGTGTTAATCTGACTGTTTGAGAAAGTGTTCATCTCTATTCAGTCCCTTTTAAATGGCGAATTAGCATTTTAGTTGTTTAAGAATGTATGTATGTATGTCAATGTGTACAACCAACACCATGAAAACTGACCGACTTTGCGCAAACAGAGCTTGTATATGTAAAGATATGTGAAGCTCAAGATTAAGAAACCTCTATTTGAAAGTTAATTTTCTCATTACGATACCTAGCTGCAGCAGTGTGTGGTTTTACACTTTGAATTATGAATTTACACAAATGGAGAATAGCTGATTTTAATTTGGGGGAATCACATTTGAAATTTACTAAAGTTACTAAACCAAAGAAAGAAAAAAAAACAATCATAATGGTAATAAGACACTAAATATATTAACATGCTTATATATACTGCCTTGCTTTAAATTGCATGCTAAGTCACCTGACGTCACAATAATACTGTTATTCTTGTCTGGCGTATTATCATGACTATAGTCTAGCTTATGATTATGACAATACAGTCTTTCATCATAACCTTTAATTAACCTTTCGGTCGAGACGGGCGAGTCTCGGCATAGTAAACTGGAAAAAAAGATTTATGCAATATTCCTCTTTAACCTTGTTACGTTACAGACGGCTCGGCAGATTTGCGCCACCCCCCCCCCCCCTCCCCATCCTCCCTGTATCATTGGACTTTATATCGTAGCTTGGATTCCGTAAAACTGTAGGATTACGAACCTATTTTCATCCATGCCCATCCGAACTTTGAATGAAAACCTTCAGTTTTATGGAATAAATGTATTTAAAATACTAAATTTAAGATATAGAGGTGCCAAAATTGTTTTCCTATATTTATATAGTTTTTAATTTGTAGTTTTGTCTATGTACAATCCACTTTATATGTTTGTCATACATTTGCATTTCTATATGTTTATTCCTATTATCAGTTTATTTTGTTAGTTTTCTCCAATTAATTGTAGTACATCAAGTATGTAAAGCGCTTAGAAACAATAGATAAATTAAGCGCTATTCAAATGTTAATCAGTACTTATTTTTATTTATTATTATTATTTCAACTAATAAATATTAAGGTTTCAAATAAATGTAATAACTATCTGCCTGATTTAAATGTCAACTTATGAAGGTACTTTTGAAAGGCTTTGCCGTCAATTTAATTCTACTGTTATTAGACGTTGGTATAATGTATATTACTTACAACTGCATTTAGATTGACGATTAGGGTATATATTATTCAAAGCACATCAAATATTCCACGCATACACTTTGTGTGTTTTATGTGGTGACAGGTGACCAGACATTATTTTTGCGGTAAGGAAATACCCATTTTATTAACATGTTTGAAGAGAAGGAGTGGTCCGCACCCTTGCTATATGAGCCTAGATTAGGGGTGTACGACAGTGGTAGGCGGTTATGGGCGTGGTTGGCTGACGAATATAACAAATACTGGACCGGCGTTGTTTACTTTTTATTGAAGTGGCTAAATTCTAACACCAATCTACTCATTTATTTGTTTGAATGCAGTATTGTCTGACATCTGTCTAGAGAAATAGGCAAAGGTAAAGTGACAATAATTATTCGAATGAAACTTTGATAGACATAAGATTATGGTTATTATGTTTGACGATGAACAGATATTCGGTGCTCCCGTAACAAGTGACCCTGGATTTATTGTTACTTCAAATATGTTGCGTAGGGGTTACCGAACCTTTAACCTTTAGGTTAGTTTAATGGTTATACTTAAGGTTAGGGTTAGGTAAATATAATGGTTAAGGCTTGGAGTTAGGAATTAGGTGAGTTTTGTATAACATACAAATGTATCGACTATTGACCTGGAGGGTGTTTCACAAAGATCCCAAGTCGAACTTATCTCTAAGTTTGACTTAAACATTATGGAGAGCCATTTGTAGCCTTAAAATAAAATATATTCAAAAGCAAATATCAAAGTATTTTAGACTTTTCATAAATTCCACA